CCAGCTCCCTGTGCAGTTGCACAAACACCAAACCAAGTCGAGGGAAGAGGAAGGGAGCCCCTTTCAGCAACAGTGAGCCTGAGCAGCCTTCTCAGGTAACTGCACCCTCAGACTAATTTTCAGCTCATTCCTTCTGCAGATAGTTCTTTATCACCATTTCTCACTGCAGCAGAATGACACACACTGCTCACTGCTTGAGATCTTTCATGTAAAGCTGGCCTTAAATCTCACACAGGTAAGCAGCATCTAAATCCAAACAAGCCTGGCTGGCTCATTTTGAAACTTCAGCATAGATTTTGCAAGATGACCACACATCTACACCAGGAAAAGCTATAGGACACAGAGCAAGAACACATTCAGCCTCTGTTCAGTCAATCTTTGACCTCCCCACAGCTGTGGTTTCAGTGTGTGCTGAATGCAGGTGGAAAAGAAGAAAAAAGACAACAAAGAAAAAGCCAGCAAGTCCCTGTGAGGTACCTGTGCTATACCATGGACTACCTGTGTTTATTTTGCATGTATAAATGTTTCAGATATAAACTATGACAGAAAATTTGACAAAATTTTAAAAAGTGTATATATATCTATCTTCCGATATGTTTGCAAAAAATTACTTAGTCTTTCTGTGCCTTTTAATACAAAAATTCTAAGCATATTCTCAGATTATGAGCTTTCCTTTCAACATTTGAAATACTACGCCATAGGGAACTTTTTGTAGAATGTGTTTAACAATAAACATTGGTTTCACCTCTCAGAACAATTTCATTTGATGAAAGAAAATGTTCTCTGCTTTTCTAAAATACTCTGCACTTACAGAGTTCCTATAGCTATGCAAAAACCCATTAGAATTTAAAATTGAGCCTTAACTAAAACACAATTATCATACAGCTGTTACAATAAGCATTAGTTTGACAGCTATGCAAAAATGAGTTTAAAAACCCATCATAACCATTTATCATAAAAGTATAAGTTTCTCATTTATGTAACTTTGCAAATGAACAGTCACAGTAACTAACTCTATCTTAGATTAGCTGTTATAGGCCACACTAACAAAATGTAAGTGCTATCTGTTGCAAAGAACCATTTAGAGCTAAACTACATAAAACCCCATATGCTTGGGTAGGACAGAGATGGATACAGACTACCAGGCATAAAGGAACATCAGAGACCATGGCAATCACCATAAAATTTAAATCAACAGCAAAATAATTGTGACTGACTCTTAATCACATGTAGCAGATTTGAGTTTTAGAGCTGTGGTAAAAACAGAACAAGACCAGTGAGATTTTCCCCTAGTAAAAATCCTTTTCTAAAGGAGTACCCCCAAGCCAGAGAAACTCATCCAGAAACCTCAACCATCATCACGTGTTTCCATGTCTCTTTCCAAGCAATTACAACAGTTTCTCACACTATTACACATCACCTGTTTTCTGAATACTCAATAATTCCTGAGCAAGCAGCAAGTAAGCATGACACACCTTATCTGCTATTCAACAGCTTTTGGCAAAAAGAGGGTTTAAGCACTAGGCAGGGTTTTCTGGCAGCCACAGTAAAAGGCCAAAAGTGGTAGTGCACTCCTAGAACCACCAAAAACTCCTTCAAGCTGCTGACAGGCTGTGTAAGGGGTCTGGGGGTCAGGGATATGGAGGACAGAAGCACCCCCTCAGCCCCTGCTATGGCTGCACTGTCCCAATGTGCTCCCCAGCAGGGATGGTCCCTGCTTAGTTAATGCAGTGATCCCAGTGATATCCATCAGCTCCCATCCCCATTCACCATCTCCTATTCCATGGGAACAGTTATGTCACAGCAGGCCCAGTAGAAATGTCCTTGTAACACTTCACCACACATTTCCTTTTAGTTGATAAGAATAGTGCCACTGCACAGACAAAACAGAGCCTGCAAGAAATAAGAAGCAGGATAAAAACCAGATGGCTGAAGTGAAGCGCAGGAAGACAGGAGCAATGCTTCTAGGGAGGAGAAATCATTTTGATGAGCTGAGACTGTGAACATGGCTCTCCACACAAAGGGAACATAACCTGCCACGACACAGCCTGCAACAGCATAACTATGAAATTTGAATGAAATATCATCATCTGTATCACCTAAAGGCTGAATTCTTTTCAAGCAAGTCCTAGGTGAACATGACACATATTTTTTAATTTAACATCAGGCTAATGCAGCTTCAGCTGTTAAGATGACTGCCTGTCAACCACAATCAGTAACACCACTTTGAAAAATGTGATGTGATCTGCAACAAAGTCGAGGGCATGGACAGCATATTCCTTTACAGTACATCTATACCTTCAAAAATCCCATCCAGGCTGGTGCAAACCTTGACAGTGACAGGAATAACTCTTCCATCCCAAGTTCTCAGCAACTCCATCCATACAAAGACAAGTGAATCAGCAGTAAAGGGAACCACAAGCACCTAAAGCCCAGACTCTACTTATCACTGTGTGCAGCATGGTTCAAACTTTTAAATCTAGCCAAAGTCAGGGTATCTTGAATCTTATTAAAATGTCATGAACGCAAAGAAGCCAGTTCAGGAAAATTTCAAGCACAAAATATGATTCATAGTATTTTCCTTGTTCTTGGTACAGTTTAAAGAAAAAAAGTTTCAATGTTTCAGCCAATACATTTTAAATGCATCATTTTTCACCATGTATAGAACCTGGAGATGAAACTTCAAAGAACATAAAGTTTTCTCCACATTGTTTCCTGAAGCATAGTATAAACATTGCCATATCATACAGGGATACAGTAATACTAATTTGATTGGTATAGCCAGCAGGCAGTGATCTAATGAGCTTCTGCATGGTACTTGTCTTGGGATTTTTCTCCCTGCCATTTTTTCTAAAGAATTCCCAAAACTTACATTTAAGACTGCATTAATACAGCAGCTATTAAAAAAAATGCAAGATGTGTTGTAAAAGCAGGGGATTATTTTAAATATTAAAAAAAAAAATCATCAAGCAGTTGTGTTTCTTGTAAAATCCAAGAGAGATCCACTTCTGCTTCTGCACTACCTGCTCTAAAACGACCTGGGACAAACCTCCCTCATGGAATATCTGGCATGACCCTCAAGAGATGATGAGAACTGGCAAAAGCAACACAGAAAGGACAGGTCACTGACTTCCACTGAAATCGACACAGCAACATGACCAAGAACACTTCAGTGATTAGGAAGAAAAACTGGAAAGAATTATATGGAGACCTTACTTTACCAAGCAGGAAACTTCTCAGAGAAACTGGCTAAAGAGCTTCACAGGGCAAGGGTTTGGCCAAAAAGCTACCTGTCCTTGCAATTCTTTGTGAAGCAGGGAACTGTGTGTACAGCCTCACATCCCAGGCAGGTCCTGTGATCTTCCCACTTCTCACTGCCTTAATTGCATCTCAAATGCAACGTGCACTATTCAGGAAGGGAAATTGACAATAACTTGGAGGAAATCTGAAAGAAATCTGTGAGAATAACTAAAGTAGCAAGCAAGAAAGAAAAAAATCTCTGGCAATAAACTTAATAAGATTATGTTCTTTTTATTAAGAAAAATAAGTAAAGCAAGAAATTAATTAAAATGCATAAGAATTCATTCTCAACACATAATGGTATTTTCAGTGTTGATAAGGCTATAAACAAGACTCAGTGGCCAGAAACTAAAGGTAGCCCTCTTCATAACAGAAATACAATATAAACCAGTCACTTGTATACTTTACTAAGAACTGTGCTGAATTTTGCCTCATCAGAAAATTTTAACTACACCTTTTACAGGCTAAGCTCTATTTTCAATCACAGATTGGGGAAAAAAAAATTTCTATGGCCTGCATTATGAAGAGGTCAGACTCGATGATTGCAACAGTCCTTCTGACTTGATAATCTATTAATCTTATCAGACACGTCTGACCACTTTCAGAACCAAGTGCAAAGTCATCTATTAGCGCACCTATTTTGACGGGGTATTTTTAGCCCGAGATTCTCTTTTACCTCTAAACGTCGTCGAGATGGGAACTGTAGATAAATCAAACAAGAGACATAAAAGGCAAGCGATAACTAAAATCTCATCGCCTAGAGAATACTCGTTTTAGCTGGCAGGGTTACACAATCAAAAAGCAACCCGAAGCCAGTAAGATATCTCGTATTTTCCCCGCACTTCCCGGAACTTTGCAGAACTCTCTCCGTGGGACGGAATCGCTCCAGACAAGTTTTGGCTGAGAGGAGGCTCCGCACGCCCCGGAGCAGCGCTTTAGAGGAAAGAGGTTCGCCAGGCTCAGCGGAGCGCACAACGGCGGAGCAATGGAAGGGCGCGGGGGATGCCGGCGCGGCGCGGCCGCCTCCGCCGGCCCGGTGCCCCGGCGGGCAGCATTGTTCGGCCGGGCAGCGCCGGTGCCCGCGGCCCCGCGTCCCTCCGGCAGCCGGGCAGGGACGCGTGAACTCTTGAACCCGCGCCGCAGCCCGACGCGAGCCCGCGGGGCGGAGAGACCGCCCGCCCCGCCGCGGGCCGCCGGGACGGCGGGGAGCCCGCGCCGCCGCCCCCCGCCCGCCGGGACGCGGCCTCCCCCGCCCCGCCCGGCCCGGCCCGGCCTCCCCGGGGCCGCCGGGCCCCGCTCGCCCCCCGCCCTGCCCTGCCCGCCGCCGGGGCCCCCTCGGCCGCCCTCGGCCAGGCCCCGGTGCGGCCCCCGGCCTTTCCTGCCGCTGCCCCCTCGGCGGACCCTCCTCACCTGGGCTTGAGGCTGCCGGCGCCGCGCTCGTAGGCCCAGGAGGCGGCGGGCGGCGCGGTGCCCGGGGCCAGGGGCTCGGCGAAGCCGGGGGTCGCGGGGTAGTTCCTGTCCATCATCGGGGCCGCGGGGGCTCCGCGGGGGCCCTGCGCTTTTGAGGGCGGCGGGGAACGAGCGGCGCGGGGGGGGAGCGGCGCCTCATCCGGGGCGGGCAGCGCCGCGGCCCCGTGCGGCCCCCTGCGCTCCGCTCCCGCTCAGCGGCGGGCGGCGGGCGGAGCTGCGGGCGGCGGCGGGGGCTGCGCGGCCGCCGGACCCATGTCGGGCTGCGCGTTCCCAGGATGCTCCTCCCCCGCCAGCGCACTGGGGCTCACGGGCTCCGTGTCCGGGGGCAGGGAGGCCGCGGCGGAGGGGCCGCGGGGCCGCCGCCAGCAGCGCCGGCGGGCGGAGCGGGAGCAGCAGCAGCAGGAGGAGGAGGAGGAAGAGGAGAAGGAGGAGGTCTGTGAATCGCGGCCGGGCGGCCGCGGCCCGAGGGGGAAGCGCGGCGGCGGGAGCGGAGCGTGGCGGGGGGCGGTAGCCGCCACCGGGGCGGGGTGGGGGGGCTGAAGGCGGGGACGGGCGGGGTGGCGGTGTCGGCTGTGGGGGAGGCCGGTTCCTCGGTGAAGTGAAGCGCTGGCGCTTTGTTGGAGGAACCGGGGCGGGGCCATGTTGTTCCCGCGGAGGGGAAGCGCCGCCAGCCGCGGGCTCCGGGGCGGCCGCCGCCGCCAAGATGGAGCCCGGCAGCCGCCCCATTGTGGAGCGCTTGGCGGGGCGGCGCGCCCGCCCGGTCACCGTCAGCCGGCGCTGACGCCGCGCCCGGCCGCCTGCCCCCGCGGCGGGGCTCGCCCAGCCTCCGCCCGCCACCGCCTCGGCTGTGTGGCTGTGTGGCTGAGCTTTCCCCGAGACCCCGGCATTCCCCACCAGGAAGTCACCGCAGGCCTGGGCCCGAACGGAGTAGTATAGTGGGATCACTATACAAGCTTCGGGTTGGAAGGGACCTTAAAGGTCATCCAGTCCGGTCCCCCCTGCCATGGGCAGGGGCACCTTCCACTAGATCAGGTTGCTCAAGGCCCCATCCAAGCTGGCTTTGCACGCTTCCAGGGACGGAGCAGCCACAATTTCTCTGGGCAGTGTGGTCCCGTGCCTCACCCTCTTCGCCGTAAAAAAATCTCATCTTAATATCTGATCTAAACCTACTTCCAGTGTAAAGCCGTTGCCTCTTGTCCCATCACATGCCCTTGTAAAAAGTCTCTTTCCAGCTTTCTTGTATGCGCCAAGTCAGCTAGGAAGAGAACAGAGAGAATATCTATTTATTCTTTCTTTATTTTTATTCTGTCTTAATTTAAATGGTAAAACTTCAGAGAGGTTCTAGAGACCTACTTCAGCTAGGACTGGCTAAAGCAGTTTATTTTTATTTAGAGGAGCCTAAGCCACCTGGTTTGTAGACAGTAAATTCCTGTATCTTTTGCTGAATGCTTGTTAAAACAAAGAATAAGGGAAATGGGCACCATCTGCACAGAGCAGGACAGCAGCAAAGGGGACATGAGTGTCGATGAGTCAACTGTGGTGTCTTGCTTTCCCCGCAGACTGAAGACAGGCAGGCCGCTGAGATGAGCAGGAGGAATGTGCCTCAGAGGTAAAGATGAGGAATATGCTCTTGAAAAGAGGGTGACTGCACCTGAAGGCACTGCTCAGAAGAGGAAGGTGTATGCTAATGACCGAGTAAGTCTTTTGAAGATTCAGTTTGTAGCACTCCAGGCAATACTGAACCACAGACTGAAATGAATTCTGTAGTGAAATGCATTTAGAAACTTGGCTACAGCCAATCAGATTAGATGTTAAAAAAAAGTTGCAAAAAAACCTCAACATTGGAATGAAAAGACAGAGTGATCAGTATTCAATGGGAAAGCAGAAAGGTATGAGACTTCAGGAGGAAAAGCCGAAGTTCTGCTTTTCTCATGCCTAAATTCAAGAAGCAGCAGGAAGAAATGCAGCCGTGGAGGGAAAGAAAGGTAAGTGTGAAAGTCATCAGCACTGAGGAGAGGAGCAAAGTCACCCAGAGGCCAGGGCAGAGGGTGGAGGGAGAATCAGCAGCTCACCAAAGCCAGAAACCAGCAGAGTGAGTTTTCCTTGTGTTTGCATAAGCTAGCACCTGTGTTGCTTGCAGCTGGAGGAGCCCTGTGGGGGGTGGGAGACCTCCTTCCCCTGGGAAACAGGAGTGTTGCTGTTTTACATATGAACGAGGCCTGATGACAGAAAATGACTCCAGTCGTATGCTAATAGTGCAGCGTTTGCGGCTGATACTATTGAAAGTGACATTTCCGGTGGGGAAGGACCCACAGTTTTTTATTTCCCTGCAGGATCTCCACTAATCTCCGTTATATTATCACACTTAGAGCACACTGCTTCCCTCAAGTGGGCCTGAGAGGAGGGTGATACATGGACCTGATATGAAATGCCTTTTCCATCTAGTTGTGCAGTGTTTGGTTTTCTAGAGTGAACATGTTGCTGTGGAGTTTCTTGTCCCAAATTTGGAATGATGTGTTAATAAATTATAAAACTGCTAGTGTCTTGTTTGTTTTTTTTCCTCAAGTAATGTCAACACGAACTATAAAGAGTTACCATTATGTTGTTTATTTCCATTACAAAACTGCTTTAAAGAGAATGTGGGGGTGGGTACATGGCTGTAAAATCATGTTACACGAGAAATCACAAACAAGAACCCGTCCAGATTTGCAGGCAAGGAAACATAGACAGTGCATTTATACCACTAAATGAACCACAGACACAGTGTTTCTCTGAACATTGCTGGAGTAGATCCTTTTTTCTGGCAATCAAATAGTGAAGTTGAGTGAAACAGAAATTGTGACAGCTGTTGTTAAGTTTAATTTCCTTTACATGGTTTTAATAGAGGTGGAGTAGACTGGAAGCTTAATCACTGATGCCCATAACCATCAGATAAAGTCAGTTTATCCAGTGATTTGCTTTTCCTGTGTATGAGAGAAATCTTGTCCTGAGATCAGCTAGTGAGACTTCTGCAGCTTTCTCATTAAACTGGCCCCTACTGCTCCTTGCTGTCCTCTGTCGAGGAAAGCTTTCTCAAATTTTGTGCATTTTATCTTTTTGTAACCAAATTGTATTTTGTAACACTTTTCTCTCTAAGACAACAAAAGAGTATGTTGAGAGTAAGTGCTTTTATAGTATCCTGGTACCCAGGATACTTATAAGCAGCTTTTCTGAAAGATCTGTTCAGGGATAGAAAAATTCCTTTGATAGATCATGTTAATTAGATTTTTTTTTTACTGTTTAGATTAAAGTGTACATATTAAAATGTATATTTAGCAGCCATGTTAGATGTGTTTAGGATTCTGAAACTTGGATTCTTGTCTTAATAAGGAATGGTTTTATTTCAAATGCAGCTGTTACTTGCTGTTTAGGAACTAAGCATTGGTGGGCTAGAATGCCTTCTGAACTGTAGTGCATAACTTAGTGTCTGTAGCCAGTAGTGATATCATATGTGCTTCTCTCTGAAGTCAAGAATTTAATATAATAAAAATACCTTGCTGAAACATAAGCTAATACAATTTTTCTCTCTATTTAAGACCAAAATCTTAAGTTGAAGCACTGTAACACAATCTGTGCAGCATACCAGCCTGGAGCAGTACTGATTTTTTTTTTTTTTGTTTCTCATTTCATTCCCTAAACCAAGAGTCTCCACTTGGAAAAAATAAATCCTTTATAGAGGAATATCATTTGATAGCTAGGAGACAGATATAAGTAATTAACATTTTAATGGGAATCATCTGCTTAAGGTCTGAGGAATGATCTGCAGTGCTGCAGCACGTGCTGCTGCCCCCAGATATGGTGTGGCAGCAGGGCTGGGCTGCCTCAGCTGCTTGCTGACACCCAAAGGAGGAGGAGGCCTGACTGTCCCTCCTTCCCTGCTTCACTCTCTCACTTCTAGTGATGAGCTCTGGCCACAGGCTGAGTAATGAAGTCACTCCCCTGGCTTCCCTTTTTCACTTTTACCTTTTTCTGCCAGAGGCGATTTTTCCTAATTTTGCTGAGCTGAGTCAGCTTGCCTTTGTGTGAAATGAGAGCTGGCTCAGGGGGAGCAGCAGTAGTGCACAGCAGGGAGGAGATGACAGGGAAGTTTTACTTCTGATGGCGAGATGTTGTCTTGGCTAATGATATATTCCATAGGGAACTCTCTAGGATCTAGGAGTGCACTCTGCAGACAGTGGTGAGCTCCCCTGCCTGTGTGACACTTCAATCAGAATCAAGCCAGCTCTGTTGCAGAACCGTGTTAGCTAATATACATTGCCCCTTAGGGAAGATTTCCTGTTTCTCTTTAAATCCTCATTCGCTGTTACACAATGCTGAATGGCAGTATTGCTTTTTGAGGTCTGGTTACATGTTTAGAGTGAACGTATACCAAATGAAATGCAGGATCAAGCTAAGGGGTAATTAGCAGTTTTCTGTGATTTTATAATAATTAAAGCAATATAGCAATCACAGATCCAGGGCCAAAATCATGCTCCAGTTCATGATTGGCAACAATGTATTTATTTGTAACTGATACATTTATTTATTTATTAGCTTCTTTGTTGCACAGTGTGCTAGACTATGTTACCAGGAAAATGTAGGCCAGTGTTTGAGTTGAGTGTGATTGGGTTTTATATTGTATATGATAGAATCATAGAATGGCCTGTGTTGGAAGGGACCTTGGAGATCATGCAGTTCCATCTCCCTTGTCATGGGCAGGGACTCCTTCCACTAGACCAGGTTGCTCAGAGCTCCATCTAACCTGGCTTTAAACACTTCCAGGGGTGGGGCAGTCTGTGCCAGTACCTCACCACTCACACAGCAAAGAATTTCCCCTTAAATCTAATACAAAGCTACTCTTTTCCAGTGTTGAGCCTTTCCTCTTGTCCTGTCACTATGTGCCCGTGTAAAAGTGCCTTTCCACCACTCTTGCAGGCTCCTTTCAGGCACTGGAAGGCCACAGGTGACCCCAAAGCCTTTTCCTCTCAAAAAGATTGTATTTCAGCACATAATAGTACTTTATTTTAGAGCTATCACAGTATCATAAATAGTTTGCTAACATACACAAACATCTTAGTGCTTAGCTTTCAGTGGATAACCATGTGTCAACAAAAGCTCTAGAAATAAGTTTAACGAATAGCCTTGTGCTGACAGAATGAATCTTCACAATTGTTTGGAAACGGTGTTTTGAAGACTTGAGGACATTCTTTTTCAAAAACTAACATTTCAAAGATAAAACAGTCAAATAACTTGAATGTGCCTAGTCGGATGAAGTTTGAAGAAGTTCAGGCTGAAGCTGAATTGGGTCTGATGTATCAACACATTGTGAAAAGTGCACAAAATAAGATTTCTGCAGCACATGTTTCCATTGAGCACTGTTGGACAGCTACACATCCTGGATGCAGCACCTTTGTGCAGGCTGTGACTGCTGCCAGCCTGTGGTATCCTGCATGAGCAGGAATGAGTGAGTAGATCAGATAGGCAGTAATAACATGAGTCTTGGTTAGGCTTGTTATTAATCACTGACTGTTTTGTTTGTTGTTGTAATTGTGATTCTGACCAAAGCAGAAAATTGCAGGTGCTTTAACAGATTAGATTTTGCATTTAATTTGGCACGTGGCCTCTTTAAACATAAAGCTAGGCATTAAGATAAGTGTGAATAGGGAAGGAGTGCTGCCTTTCAAAGAGCATGCTCTGTCTTGGAACCTCACAGCAAGTTCTGTCCTTTGAATTTCTTCATGTACATTGCTCTGTGCATTTATTTAAAAATTTGAGTGTATGTACAAACAAATGAAACAAAATCTTCAGAATTCATTTTATTGAACTAAAGCTGATCTATGGAAGCTTGACTTCTGGCATGACAGATTATGATGGAGCTGGTAGGAAGTTCACTGCAGCAATGAGGAGAAAGTCTTGTTTCCTTGGAGTTCCCAATCCTCCTCCTGGTCATGTGCTTCCACCCTTTCCAAGGTGCCACCACTGCACTTGTGTTGCCTCAACTCAGCCACTCCTGAGAAAGCTGTCTATGTTTTCACTGGGTGATTTATGAAGGGATCTAGTAAGGACCAGAACTCATACAAGTTAAGTGGGAGAAATGTGCAATGACATGAAGGGAAAAAAAACCCTAAATAAAACCTTTGATCTTGAACACACTCGTATTTTTAATAGGGAGTATTTTGTTTTAACTCTTACTAGAAGATATTTTCCTTTGTATGACATCAGTGCTGGGTGTTTAATGTGAAATATTGGATGTTTATGTATTCAGTACTTGCTGATCTTCAGAGAAATTAAACTGAAGCTTGATCTGAGCAATCAGAGGTGTTTCTTGTTTCTTAAATGAAGTAGGCACTGCTTCAGAAATTAAAATGGGTCCATCTCAAAACTTATGTTTAACTGCTCCAGTTTCTAGACTGAAATATTTTTCCAGACGCAGTCTGTCTGTTCCCTTTAAAGTGGGAGCTCCTGGAGGCTCCCAGAATCTAGGCAGCAAGATGCCTGCATCTGATGGCCCCTACTGCTTCAGTGTTTCAGTAGTCTAGGTACTATGGAAAAGAGCACTTAGGGTGAAAATGTTACCAAACATACCAAGGAAGAAAGTGTTACCAACTCCATTTAAAAGAAATGAAAAGGCTTGTCAGAGTTTTTTTCATTTTTTAATCATAGGCTAAATTAGCATTTTCTCTTTTGCCATGATTAATTTATATAAATGGAGTGAAAGAAGGAATTGTCCCAAGACACTTAATGAGAATGAAGCATCTATCCCATCAGCTGTATTTCAAATATCAGTTCAGCTGACTGGTTAAAAAGCTTCATTAGATGTTCAAATATAGGAGTAGATTTGGGCAGTCTGTGGGGAGCTCAGCTCCTCTTGTATGGTTGGAAGAAATAGCACAGCTCTGACTGTTTTTATTCCAGAGGGTAAATCAAGAGTGGCTTAATTTAGTGAAATTCACTGTGCTCCATATTTGCTCTAACAGCCCTCCTGCCTCTCTGAGGAAGTCCACACACACTGTATCATGTGTGCCTCCTCTTCAGAGTGAAATTGCCGTTACCAAATGAGGAATTCCTGCTTCCTGCCTTGCTTCTGCATGCCTGTTCTGCTCCTCACTGAGGGGACCTTACTTCAGTACCCCTAGGAAAGTGGTATTTTTTGTGTTAAATCTGCTCACTAAAGGCCTGATAAAAGTCAAGGAAGATGGAAGGGCTAACAGCTGCTTAAGTGAGATTTTGTCTTGAAGGGTTCATCTTCAGTGTCTGCACTTCATAAACCTCAGATGCTCAGCTGAACTGGAGCAGTGGAGCAGGAAGATTTTGTCCAGAGTAGAAATTGCAAATATTAAAGAAAACAAACCATGGCCCTTTTTCTCTACCAGTAAGTGCTATATGGCATGAAGAATCATCTAACAGTAAAATGGTGTGGGTTGGAAGGGAATTTTGAAGGTCATCTAATTCCAACCCCTGGCATGGGCAGGAATACCTTCATGGATGGAGTCCCATCCAACCTGGCCTTGAATGTTTCCAGGGATGGATCCTAAACTTCTCTGGGGAACCTGTGCCAGTGTTTCACCACTCTCATGGTAAAAAAAAAAAAAAAAAAAAAAAAAAAAAAAAAAAAAAAAAAAAAAATCCTCACACATAGTCTGAATTTAGCCTCTTTCAGTTTAAAACCATTACCACTTACCTGTCACAACAGGCCCTGCTAATAAGTTTGTCTCCATTTTTCTTGTCCTTTTAAGTGCTTTCAGAAGAGGGCATGTTTTTACCAACTACGTTTAAAAGAAATCAAAAGGGTTGTCAGAGGTTTTTTTCATTCTTTAATCATAGGCTAAATTAGAATTTTCTCTTTTGCCGTGATTAAGTTGTATAAATGTTTATTTAGAAATTGTTATACAAAATAATATAGAGACTAGCAGAGACTAAAATATTGCTACTCGATCACCCAAAATATGACAGCACTTGAAATCAAAGTTCTAAATAAATATAGCCAGTGACAAGTACATTCAAAGTGTTCTGACAGATGAGTAGAAGGAAATATGTTCATAAGATTAAGTAACTGTTTATGCAGTTCAGAAATTACTGGAAATAGTTAAAAATAGCTAAATAAAGAGCAGATTATTCGAGAAGATCTGCTTAAGATTTTTGAGAGGAAAACACATGCAAGTTCTTTACTGTGGAAATGATAGTGATAAATTTGTAGTGACAGGAATTGATTGAAAGATGTTTACAGTACAGAAAGACAATGTTTGAAGTGTTTGAAAATGGCTTCTAAACCCAGAATTTCCTTCCTTTTCTCAATGCCACATGGATCAAGCAAGGATAGCAGCAGTAAAACTTTTGTTGGCAGGAGAGACTGTGGATGGGAAAGTCTGGTTTGTTGCTGTTTTGGGGTTTTTTTTATTACTTTGATGGTTTATTTAAAGCTAGAAGTAGTGTTGCTAATAAGCTGCAGGTATTCAATTAATCTTATTCACAGCTGGTAATCTCAGGAATAATAAGGAATTTTGCTATGCTTTTCAGATTTCAAATATAACTTTTAAGGGCAGATCAGACTGAAACATTCTAGTTAATAGAAGTGGGCATCATTATAACAATAGAATACTCTGAACTGGATTTGGCAACAGCATTGTAGTAAATAATTTGGCAGAGCATTATCCTTTTTATTACCTGAAGTGATCAGTTATCTCATTTTTTGCTCCAATCCCAGTTCAGCTGCAGCCAATAAAAACCTTGCCATAGACCTTGACAGGACCAGAATCAAATGCTTCACAAGTCACATTTTCATGAGCTGTGGTGAGGAAGTGCACTTCCACGTGGTACTTCAGTTTTGCTGCTCTAATGAATTCACAAAAACCCCATCAACCCCTCAACCTATAAATGCATAATTGATATAGTATCACATAGCAGGCTTTCTTATTGCAGCAGTAAGCAGGTTCAGTGTTTTATTTTTCAACTTACACAGCCAGAGATCGCTTTCCTGACCCTTATTATTTGCCCCAATTAATAAACTGTTTTGTTTTATAAAAGGTTGCATGCTGTAATCTCCTGTGATGCTGGAAAGGCTGTTCTGGAAAATTCTTCAAGGCAATGGCTAACAGCACTAATAGTGACACATTTAAAACAGAATTATGTGTTTGCTAGTGTTTTCAACTAAAACACTAGTATTTACTGTTTTGCTTTCAACTATCATAGTAGATCTCTGTTAAATCACTTAAAATCCACTGTCTTTCCTAAAGGTCCTGGAAAGAAATGCCAAAGTCAAAACACTGATAATTTACATCTCTATACAAGTTAGGTTAACTTGCTGCTGCTTTGCTCCTCAAAAAATCTTCCTCCTCCTCTTCCTACTTAATCACAGAATACTTTGGATTGGAAGGGACCTTAAAGATCACCCAGTTCCAGACACCCTGCCATGGGCAGGGACACCTTCCACAGGATCAGGTTCCTCCAAGCCCCATCCAACCTGGCCTGGAACATTTCCAGGGTTCCAGGGACAGCCTGTGCACCCTCAGAGTAAGAATTTCTTCCCAGTAGCCAATCTAACCCTGGCCTCTGTCAGTTTAGAGCCATTTCCCCTGGTCCTACTAAACGGCCTTGTAAAGGTCTCTGAAGTACAAGTCATTTGCTGCTTTATATATTCTAATAGCAACTCCGTTTTCAAAAGCAGCTACATGTAAAATTTTGAAGTGTGGCAAAATAAACTAATTTTAATATAAATTAATAACTCCCCATAGTCTGTCTCGTTGATTTTCCCTCTGTTAACCCTGTTGAACCATGAGCTCTAAAAAGAGACAAGATACAAGGTAAGAGTGTGCCAGGAGTCAGTGTATGAAAGAAGGAAAACAAACTCAACCCAAACAAGTGCTATTCAAAGGAATTTTGTCCCTCTACCAAGAGGTAAGTTTACACTGTATTCAACTAAATTTTACACTTTGCTCCTTCTTTGTAAAATACAGGATGTGTCTTCCAAATTATCATGCTATGTGCAACCAGTGTTTGAATGTCAGTCCCTGCCATTTTCAGGGTCTAAGGTGCAGACTCCTTGAGTAAATTTGAGTGTTTTACTCTACTGAAAGGGTACTTTACTGCCCAAAGCATTACACCATTGATGTTTAACAGTTATACCCTCTTATTTTTTTTATTAATTATGAAGGATGAGATTTTTGCTTGTATTGAATGGGATCAGTTGCAAATAATTTGTAGGAACAGCAGAAAAATCAAATTTCCAGTGATTGAATGGGATTCTGTACAATTTCTGGAGTGTATTTAAAATGTGGCTTTGCTAGATGGCTGTAGTAACATTGAAGAATCTCTGAATGGTCACAAGCCTTGTGAAAGCCCATTCCTTTGCAGTGTTCCCATCAGTAGCATTATTTAATAATCTTTGAGTCCCAGGAAAAATCTATGTAAAAGTGTGCTCTACTGCTCAAAATTCACATTAAAAATTTTTAAATTGTTAGCTAAATGCAAGGGGAATATGGGAGAATGATTTGCAAGTTTATGATTGCATAGGTTCTCAAAACCTATTTTGTCAACAGTGGCCTCACACAATTCTTTTCAGTCTTACAGAACTTCAAGAACTTCAAAATGCTTTTACAAGTAGGGCAAAAGTGAATTGAAACATCCCAACAGGAGGATTCCCCCATCTCTCAATAAAAAAAAAGAAGCTGGAGAGAGATTTTTGACTCGGCAGAAGCCAAATTCAGTGGTGAAGTTTTGTGAACAGGAACACCAGTGGCACTGCTACCAACTGCATTGTATTTGTTTTTCAAAGGGCAAGACTGCATTGTGTAGCACTGTCACTGTCAGTGTACTCTCTCTATATTCCAGGATTTGAAGTGTTTCCATTATTACAAAGACATCTGCAGATTGAAAATCTCAGGCCAATTTTCTGCACCTTGCTCAACAACACTGTAGCTTCTAGTATGTTAAAAACAGTAAGATTCAGTGAAATATCACATATTCATTTCAACCCTTAATCCTTTAACTTACAATATAAAATGGATTGTAGGCACCAAATTGAAATATAATTTGCTGTTGTCAGCATTGATTCGATGAGGGGGAAAGAAGGGGGAGCTTGTTTCTTCTTAAAAAACGTAATGGTGTGTGCCTAAACTGTACAGCCACTGTCAAACAAGAAACCAGCCTGACATGATTCCTGTGAGACCCTCTGCTCTGGCTTCCTCTGCTGAGGAGGCCAAGGGACACAAGTGGTGGGCAGCAATTTGCTCAGCAAGATCTATAGGCTGCATAATTCTGGGGGTTGATATTCTAATAATATTATGTAAAATTAATGGTGGCTACAGCTGTAGATACAGAAAATGTCTTGACACAGTGAACCAATAACTCAGGAGTTCTTGAGTCTTGATTTTTGATCTAATATGATGTCTCATTCTAGTTAAAAGTATCATTTTGTTGTCCCTGTAGTGCAAGACACACTTACTAAAGTGCTTCTAGGGGGTAGGTCAGCTTTGGGGTGAAAGTTAAATGTCTCTCTCTACATTTCAGCTTTTAAACTATGAAATAAACATTACCTGTGAAACCTGGGTAGCTTTTTAAAAAGGGACAAATCTCTGGCTTTTTGCCCAACACCCACTGGCCCACAGCATTCTATTTACTCTCTTTGGCCTGGTATTTACTGTTGAACATCAACAGAATTTGATGCAAGTATACTTTGTCTCACTTGGTAGTGTGCCATGTAATGAATGCTTCCTTTTGATGCAAAATGATGATCATAGAAATACAACAAATTAAGTTGTGTGATCAGCAATGTCTAAACCAAACCAGTGTAATCCACTAGAGGACTATATATATATATATATTAGACAGATCACGCCATGAAATAATTTTTGCACTCAAGTCTACTACAAGAATGAATAGAAAATTCACCCAGGAAAGAAGCGAATCTGTCAAACAACCAAGTAGATTTTTATGGTGGTTTAAAATATTAAGTCGCAACAATGGCTACTATCAATATGAGCAATTAAAATACTGTTCTTTCTGAAGAAAAAAACAACGAAACTATTAATGAAACATCAATAGTTTGATGGGATGGCTCATATGGAAGAAGGCAGCAGTACAGGACTTGCTCTTTATGCGTTCTCTTCTCTTGGCACAGTGCCTTTGTGCAAAGAACAGTCCTGCAGCCCTTGTGCCAGGTGACCTCTTTTCCCAAATGGGAACTTCACTCCATCCTGGTTGTCCAGGAGATCTTTCACATTTCTGTAAATCATCTTGCAATATGCAAGGTAGCACACACTTTTTTCAAAAGCATGTTACGTCGCAGCAGTCCCCCCTCAGCCCAGCAGGAGGTTTGTGCCTAGGGGCCAGGGAGGGACATGGACTTTTGGAAGAAGCGTGCATGCCTGGGGGGCCCTGGGTAAGGGGGTGGGGGCACGCTGTGCTGGCCGGCCGCGGTCACCGCCTGCTCGTACGTGGGCAGCCCCGAGTCCTCGGCTCCGAGGGGAACGGGGCTCAAGGAAAACTCCTCGTGCCTCCTGAAGATGCTGGCTGAGTTCCGTCTTCTGCTCCTCACATAAGCCAAGTGCCTAAACAAAGGTAACAGCAGGTAAGTGGAAACTTTTGCTTTAAATGGAAGCAAGAAGATTAAGTCTTAATAGTAAAATAAACAAAACCTCCAAACCCCACAAGAGGGAAAAGCATGCCTTCAGTGATCACAAAGAGCAGAAGCCAAATACTCCCTCCAAACCACAGGGTAAGAAGAGCTCAGTGATGTGAAATTCATAAGGAAGAGAAAGCACAGAATCCTTTTATTTTCCTTTCAAGTTTAGGACAAAGGAGCACTCAGGAGTAGACTCCTGGTTAAAAAAGCATTTCCTCCAAACTGTTTAATCATCTACTACCACAACCACTTACATCTGAGGTAGAGCACATGCCAAGAGGAGCATACAGCTTACTTCAAAGCACCAACAGAACACATTAGACTTCCCATTGCAGGCCCCCACATACTAAAATTATTCCATTATCTCAGAATATTTTGAAACCAAGAACACACACATATGCAATTAAAAAAAAAAAAAGGCAAACCCAAAGGTTTGGGTGTACAATATTGTTTTATGTTTTTGTGTTATTAACTGCAGCATAACTACTGCTGGTGCTCACTTAACTTTGCTCCTAGACAAGTAAGAACTAGAACTCCACTGGATTTTCTGAGAATACAATAGTTAGGCAAACCCACAGTTATTTTTAAATGCCAATCTTAAGCAAGACTTTGTTTTGTGTGTGTTTGGGCTTTTTAAGCAGTGAAATTCCTTACTCTGGTGGTTGCCTTGATTTGCATCTGCTCTTGCAGCAGTAGAAGATAATCAGTGCAATTATAACCAACAGTATTCCAGCAGCAACCAGGCTGATGAGCAGTCCTGTGACGTTAATCTTTTGTAGTGCCTCATCACCTGGAGAGAAAACATTGGTGATTTTCATTATGTTCTTTCCATCTAGCCAGCCTTCAGTTTACACTGTAAAATACTACTTTTGCACTGCTATTAGGCTGTTCCTTCCACAAATGTCTTAACTTGCTGTAAGAAGCTGTAAATCTGTGCAACACAACTCAAGAGAATCATTCACAATCAACTTAAAGCAAAAGGGAGTTGATGCCCCATTTTCTCTACATGAAACTGTTGAGATGCTTGTCTTCCAATGCCTTCCAAATATTCCTTCATGTACTTCATGATCAGGCTGTAAATCTTTCCTTAAGTCAAACTGACCCTTTTTTATTAAACATCTGTCATCAGACTCTGAGCCTAAATCAGGCTGTTATATATTACTATTAAAGAAATGGGGGGGTAGAAAAAACAAAACCAAACCACAGCCACAAAATTACAGCAAAGTTTACCAATTGTGTAATAAAGAAATGGTCAAGGAAATTATTTGTTTTACCTACAGACCTATAATGGATCCCACTTTAAGATGCTTCAGTTTTATCATATCAGATAATTAAACAGATTTGTACATATCATAGTGATCTTCAGTAAAAAGATCGTTTCTGATTTCCTTAACGGAATGGTTGATCTATAAAGAATATAGTATTATAACAACTAGAAAATATTGCAATATAATAAAAAAGTAAAAAGATTACTTACCTATTTTTATTATAGGGCCTTTAGTTGAATAATCTTTCCAAAAATCCATCTATAAAACCCAAAAAGAATCAGATTTATATGAGATACATAAGTGACAGGCCTATTGACTTATATTTAATATGGTACCACAGGCAGAATTTAGCAATGGCATAAACAGAAATAACTCCTACTGAGTGATTTGTATTTACTCATCCCATGGTATTTTTCTTCTACAACTTTGCAGTAAAATTTCTCAGATCCCAGTTGGTAAAAGAAAAAAGTGTATTTAACTGTACAGTGTTACCTCATATTTCTGCCAGATTACAATAGAAGTTAGGGTATATTCTGACACAAAAAAAAAATCTTACAATTGTTTCTTTGCTAATCCCTACAAAACAGTATTTGAGGCAAAGTTAAGTTCTTAAGATTCCAACATTTGCATGAACAGTACTTGAATTCACATCAGCTAGGAAAAATAGTGGGGTTCATTTAAGAGAAAAACTTTTATGTTGTATGACTATCAGGCATTAAATGCGTTGAGCTATAATTTTCACTTTTACTACCTAGCAAATTACTCCAGCAGGATTTCAATTTAGCAATGTGACCTTATTCTTAGGGATGTGTTAGCAATAGCAAGCTAACACTTCCTTCTTTAGAACATGGGTGTATCCCTCACTCCTTCTGCAGAGCACACCTAGAATCACAGAGAGATTCTTGCTGCTTGTGCAACAACCAGTCTTCAGACAATCCTCACATTCCTTTATTGAGCTGAAAGGTTTCTCACTGTTTCTTTTTATACCTACATATATATATATATATATATATATATATATATATATATATATATATATATATATACACACACCAGGTTTCTTAGCCATGGCTAGGTAGGGAGTTAGAATGTGGTGCTATAGAAATACTCAGCAATAGCTCAACTGCAGGTTTGCTTCACACTGGCCTCTTACAAAACACTTTTTGGGCATGACACAGGGATGCAATCAGCCAATTAATACATTAACCATGTGAAACATTTAAACTGGATGCTGAAAAGTTAGTAAAAAAATCCAGAAGTATGAAAATCTAGGGATATCCACAAGTGGGACTTCTGAAGCTTCATTTCTATTTGTTTGCAGAATGAAATCCACATCTAAAATCTTTAAGACAAAGATACATATTCAAGTGCACTCACTGTGTATCTAAAGCAAGAACCCCATGTAATTGGGATATCTGCTTTTAAAACAAAATAAGTAGTCATCTCTCAGTGCTATGTTAGAGGAGTTACAGTATTTGTGTACAATAATTTGTGTTACAATAATTTGTGTACAAAAATACAGTTATTTAGCCAATAACCTCCTATATTAAATTAAATTGGAACTGCTACCGTTTTTTCAGGGTCTTCAAAAATTTCTCTTGCTTCTTCATAATTGCAGAGTTCTTCATAGCATTCCCTTTCCAGGTTATCATCTGTGAATGCTTCAAAATCAAATCTGTTGTTCAGAAGATGTCGTCCAATGAATAAATTTGCCTCCCTTGCAGATGTGAACACTAATGGAAAAAAAAATCAAGTTGATTTAAAACAAGAAGGCTAGATTTGGTATTTTTAAAGAATGGTAAAGATTTTAACACATTGGGATAATTTCTTTCCCTAGCATCTCTTAGCTATGTACAAGGCAAAGAAATATCAAGGTCTCCACCTAAAATGTCATCTTCACTACTATCTTTACCAGCCATGTAACATAAAATAAATGTATTTGCCTTTCTAATAAGCCATCTCAGCTATTCCTTACCCTGGCCGGGAGAATTTGATTGTCATGATAAATTTTGGTCAAGTTTTGGTGTGTGACCCCTTCTGGGATGTGAGCATCAGTTTTTACTGGAGGTCTAAAGAACAAAGTAATTGTCACATAAAGCAGAATTCAGATCCAAAGTAAGCAACACCCTAATCTAGTGGGGGGTGGAGACAAGGGTAGGGGAAGGAAAAAACCAAACATACATTTATCAATATTCTGGTATCTCTGAGTACCAAATTTTATTTACAGAATTTAGTTTTTAAATCACATCAGCAGACTCCTATTCATTCTACAATCATTCTCTTTTCATAATCATGGCACAAAGCTTTGTGTAAAGGAGCCTTATTGCCAAGTTAATTTGTTTTAAGTTTGTCCATGATATGAATTTTACTGACAACATGCATTTCTGAAGACTTCTGAAAAGAAGAGATTCTCTTTTGTGTTCCATGAGGCCTTATGGAGTAAGTGGTGAAGTGAGATTCCAGAACAGTGAGTGAAATTATAGAAGGCTTTGGAATACAGGAATGTATTTCCTCACTAGGCATTTTCCACAGTCAAGTTTTAGCCTGCTCTTGCTGCAGTTTCTTATTTAAAAAAAAAAAAAAAAAAAAATACAGGACAAAACTTAGTTTCTGGTGAAAGCCTAATCTGTGTTCACAAAATTCAGGCTATTTGGTTGAGCAAAATGACTAGAGGATTATTTTTGCAATTGTAATGCAGAAACAGCATTGTTACATACCAAGCTGGATGGCTGAAAAAGGAGATGAGATTCAGGATAAAGTTATTCAATGACAAATTAGCTTTCTGTTCTTGTTAGCCTGTTTGGCAAGATTATCACATCACTCTGGAATTTTTACCCTAATAGTTACTGTTAGATCTTGCAGTGGTATCTCATAACACTTTGCTCTCTGAAAACTGAGAAAACTGCAGCAGAACTTACATATTGGTTGCTTATGTCTTCAATATGATAGAATATTTAAGGAATATGACATCATATATTTATATAATTTGTGTACTGTTACACTGCGTACTGAAGTAGCTACACATGTGCACATGCATTTGTTTTTGTTATTCTAAAGCAATTGCAAGAAAATCCAAGCTTGAAATATTTATACTACACCTGAAGAGTAACCAGAGAAAAGGACTTAACAACAACAAAAAAAAACAACCCCAAAGCCAAAACCAAAATCAAAACTCCCTCAAACCCACAAGTGGAAAGGGAAAATAATTAAATGGAAAAAAATGTATCAATATTCTTGGTTCAGTGCAAATTACAAAAGTAACTTCAGTCTTCTGAAGCAGAGATCTTCAGTTTTGCTCAGTAGTGTTTCACTCTTCACCATGCAAGTAGTATTAGCTGTCCTTTGAATTAATTTAGAAAACTGATGCATTTTGTTTAAAATGGAATGCATAATCAGACTGCCTGGAGCCTAGAACCCTCAATTCCCAGGGATACATGGACCTTTTTCTTTTCAAGAATTTTTATCCATTTTTCTGCACTTTTTTCACTTTGTCACATATTTTCATCTCCAACTTACTTGCTACCTGGTGATTAAAACAATATTTTAAGAATGAAACAGATGGAGGATTTGAATTGTGTCCTAAGTGTGAGGGACCTGGATACAGTTCTGCAATCCTTGGTTTGATAAAATGATCCATGCAGTTTTAGGATACCCAGCATTTTATTAAAAATACAACCACACAACATTCTCAGTGAAGCAGCTCTGCTGGTAAACGATGTTCAGAAAATGCTGAAGGAGGACAACTCAATGCAAGTACCCCATACCTTTGGCAACTGTTCTACTTGCTAAATTATCGGATTATTTATATATATATATATAATATCTAAATTTTTATTAATAAAATATTGAATATTAATTGGATACTTCTCTTTCCAACTCTCTCTTTAAAGAAGGAGTGGTCTGGGCCTATTGTGAGGAGAGAGTTCTCACAGAAGCTCACAGGGAAGAGGCAGCCTTTTTATGCCCAGAGCAATATGGATTTTAATAAATCACCTGTCACAAGCACTTTTCTGCTAGCCATGGTTTCTGCTCCACATACTGCCCTAAAGGACCCTCCTGCTCCATGTGATGACATTTAAAAATCTCTCTTCAGCTTTCAGCACTCATTGTCCACTGAGAAGACTGGACAGCTAAGCTAGAAATTCCTTTTTGAAGCCCTGATGCTTAAAATATTAAGCATCACATGGCTTTGCTTTGGACTGCTTGAGTCTCTCTGGAGAACGTATTTATGATTTTATGAGTTCCTCTCCACTCCTCTCCCTCCACAGGGAAGAACTGCAAAAGCAGCACTATGCTTATCTTTCCAGGTGTTGTAAGGGGGCCTGGCATTGAGAGAAAATATCAATTTCAAAAAAAAAAAACCCAAATAAACCCTTTCAAACACCAAGCCATTTCAGGTATACAAATACAACTGTGATGTGCTTAAATAGCACCAAAACAATACTGTTTTAACACAGGTTTCAAACTTCCTGAATTTTGATGTTACTTAAAGGATTCTGGTTGTATCAACCACAGTAATCCCAGAGGCCTGGCAAAAGTTCAGTTGTCCCAGTCTGCACTTACAACTAGATCTGATAGATACTTGATCTTAACACCAAAGTCAGTTATCAATCATTTCAGCAAAAGAGATTAAAATAATCTGAGATTAAGCATAAAACAGCCTAATGTTTTTCATAAAGTTAAAAAAAAAAGGCCAAACAACAAAACCACTAAAAAACCCCAAAACCAAAACAACAACAACAACCAAGCAACAATTAACAGAAGCCAGCAAAACAAAGTTAGAACCAATTTTGGAAAGCACAATCTCGCATTAAAACTGAGTTACCACCTTTCCATTCCGGTTGCTTCAGGTGATTTAATCCCCCAGGGCAGTGAGGAAACGCGAGCACCGTCACATGCAGTTGACACAGCACAACCAAAACCGCGAGCATGGCCGGGATCTGTCAGACAGAAACCACCGCGAGTTGAGCAAGAATGACAATCCTCTGAAGCGTCAGCGATGAACCCGGAGCGGGTCCCGGCAGTGAAGTCACCCAGCGCAAGCACCCACACGCACCCCGGGCTAATGGGTCCCTGGAAGAGGCGCCGACCCGAACTGGTCCTGCCTGTCTCTGGCGGGGCTCTCCTTGTGTAACACCGCACGTGTCGCCGCTCCCGCTCCCGCTCCAGCACAGCGGCGGCCCCGCTCGCCGCTGAATTGATGGGAGAGAGCCCCGAGGGTGCCCCAGGCGGGCTCCGAACCTGCAGAGCTTCGCCTTCGCCGCCGGAGGAGGTAACAAAATCTCCCCGGCGGGAACAGCTACCAAGCCCGTTTTGTCAGAGGCATGAAATGAACTCTGCACGGGGTCACCCCACGCAGCTGAAAACACGATCGCCACCGAGGCGGGGATGCGCCACAGCCGCTCGGGGCCACGGCCGGGCGCTCCCGCAGAGCCGCCCCGCCGCTCCCCGGCCCCGAGCGCCCTGCCGCCCTCGCTGCCTCCCCCGCCGGCCCGGGCAGCTCCGGCGAGCAGGACGAGGGCCCGGGGAGCGCCCGCGGAAGGAGCGGCTCATCCCGCTCCCAGCGCTGCCCTACCTGTCCCGGCGGGAGCCGGGCGGAACGGCGCACGGGGCAGGACCGGCGGCGGGACCCGGGCGGATCAGGGGCCGGGACAGCCTTTCCC